TTATCATCTGATGTCACTGGACCGGATTGGAGGCTTCTGGTTGGATGCCGGTCACGGGATTGCGCATCCGGTTCGCGTTGGAAAGTTTGCTTTGTTTACGCGGCCGGGAGCATGGATCACGTCTGACATCACGATAGGGCTAGGACCCATGGAGGGGAGGGGAACAGAAGCGGTCCAGATGTCTGGGCTGCATATGGACAAGGATAGCATTGCATGGGAAGCAAAGATGTGATGAACCCCGCAGCTGGAAATCGACGAGAAACTCGATTGCGACTGGCTGAGGGCGCACATGGCGTTGTGACGCAGCTGACGGGTCACATCATCACGATTGATTGACCCCACCAGAGGTCTGGGTCTTTACTCTTTGCGGGCCGTGGCGCAGCCTACACGAGAGAGAAGTCTGCGATTCCTGCAAGAAGGACGAAAAGAAGCTCGGGATCCCCGACCAGACACCCCGGTCGAGACGAAGGAAGAGTGCTGTTTGATCGATCTTTCAGTGCAGCCGCTTTGTCGGTCTGCTCATCTGATTGGTGTCGACAATTCGGAGAGGGTTGCAGGGCGGCTATCTGACCGTCTGAGCGCTGCAAAGGCCCTAGCTCAAGTAAATCAAAACAATATCCCTAAAAGAGCGACGCGTCTTGTAAACAATGGCGGTTGTCATCAAGACAGGAAGCCTTTCGAGACGTCATGAAGCCATCATCACTTGCAATAGAGAGTCCAGCTCGGAGCTTGGGAACAAGATCGAGAATATCCTCCGGGGAGTGACGTAGCCCCACGGGCCAATATGGGGTCGGCCCTTTATTGATTGATTCATAGATGGACAGTGCGAGGCGTTCACCGTATCCCGACCGTTCCGGACCCTCTTCAGAGAGCTGCAGACGACAGACTCGACAATGGCACGAGGACTGCAGTACAATGCACTCTGGGGACGCACGACTTCAAGCCGATGCAAGCGGAAGGGCCTCGACCGAACAGGGATGGCTGGCTCACGGCGGAGGAGACGGTCAAGTCGGCGGTTCACTGAGAGCATCACAAAGGAACAGTGGGGAGGGATGTGTTCCAGTTCGAGCCTAGAATAGCATAGTACCACGCTACCTTGGGGTGCAGGATCAAGATGTAGCAATTCTTGGGACGATCGAAAGTCCCACTGCCACTGGCTAGCCTTGTCGAGAACTCCATCGACTAGCCGTTTCAGCTGATTTCATCAGAGCCGCTTTGATATTACGGTGGCGAATGATGGATGGGGGAGCGGGGTTGCTTGGATGGTGCCATGTTGTGTGGTACGTGAGGTGGTGGTGGTGGAGTTCTTAGGAGATATCATCATAAAGAGTCGGGATGGACATTGCGTATGATCCCGAGTGATGCTGCCTTCATTGTTGGCCGAGGTGATCAACGATCAACTTTGTTTGGCGAGCTGGATTAGTGTGGTTTTGTTCAATTGAGATTAGCAGACAGACTTTGAGCGAGTCTGATTTGCTTGATGTCTTCCAATCCAATCCATACGTGGTAGTGTGAAGTGATGCGGCAGGGTTAGTCCTCACAATGAAGCTGGGTCAAGTCTGTGGGTCGGATCCGAAGTTTCAACATGGTCATACACTCTCAAGATGCTTCCAATAGACTTCCATTGTCAAGCGAATACCGTAGCAACCCCAGAATCCCTAAGGAAACATGATAGTTGCCCCGGGTGGGATGGTCGGCTGAACCCCGGAGTCACCAGGGTAGAACGAGGGTCTCAATAGATTACACTGCCTCGCAACTGGGCGGGCTTAATACTTCCCAGCTAAATGCTGGACTGTTACCGTTGAGCACCGTCCTGCCAAGGGGGTGGATGAAAGGGATGCGCGACATTGAATTCCCCTCGCGGGGCCCTTGATCAACGAGAATGTGGACGGGCTTCAAGTAAGGGCAGCGTCACGGGTATGAGATGATCCTCCTACCCCAGAGTTTTGGTGAGTTACGGCGGAGCAAACCCGTTCAAAATCAAGGCAGGATCTTGCTAGATTCAATAGTTGGGTCGATAAGAATGAACCAATCCTTTCCATTCCTTACGCGATGCGACGCTCTCGTCAAGATTGTGCGTAGCTTCAATTCCCCTTCACGATCGCAGAGTACTGTATACGGACCGGATACAGCGAGTACAGTACCAGCGGTAGTACTGTAAGTTGAACCCGACCTTGGGCAAGGCTCATGCAGGGACGGACCCCCCTACAATGATGCTTATATGTCCCTAGCCAATCAAGGTATTCATTCACTTGGAGAATCTCAGTAGGTTATCTCCCCTTGGGAGGCAAGTGGTTGAACTGGTTTACCTTTGATGTACTCTACTTCATTAATTGACTAGGTTGCGTGCGCCTAGCTTCCTCAAGGGGTAATTGATCGTCCTCTAAACTTCCGTACAGTAACTGACTGTCCAATGCGAGTCCATGACTCTGACTTTTCACCAGTTCGCCAGAACGAGACACTCCGACCATTGACTAATCAGCGTGAAGCGATTTGGCCAGTTCGTCGGGCTTACTCGGGCGATACTTACTGTACCAACCGGCCGACCGGGGGCATGGTACGTTTCATAGTGATCCGACGACCTACCACTTCTGTACTTCAGTTTCTCCCAAAGTCCAACAATTGGAATACCCAATGACGTTACCGCTATCCCAATCTGGCAAGTATGATTCTCCCCCCTCATGGCATTTTGACTCTATTCCCCAGGACAAGATTTATGCTTCCTTGCATATCGAGGACGATCCTCAGAAATCACTTGCAGCGACCTCGTTTAGGTTTCTGAGCTCTATTTTCCGACCGAGTGGAACACAGTAGTGGATCCTTCGGTGTTTTTTAGCCTCGATCTTACTCCGTTTTTTTTTCCTTCTCAGCTGAGCTGGTTTCTCTGAGCAACGGCACGGGAACGGCGTGAGGCGAGAAGAAAAAAAAAAAAACCACACCAATCTCTGGTTCTGGTGGATACGGAAGACCCATAGAAGACGCACCGAAAGGCGGTTTCATTGGGAGGAGGATGAATAATGCCGTTTGGCCGTGGAGTTGAAGGAAATTATGAGTATGTACGCATGTACGATGTATGGTATAATTGTACAGGAGCCGTTTAGTGTACAAAGGAAATGGCAAAAAAAGGCATGCACCGAAAAAAACTGTCACAATTCACAACGGTTTTCTTGAAAAACTGGAACCGAGGAAGTTAGGGCTGCTCACTTCCTTCGGTCGTTCCCCATATCTTGAAGTAACTAGTTCCATGGAAAGGCCAGGGGGAGAAGTAAAGAAGGGCAGGATTTGGAGGACCATAGGATGAAGCTAAGCTATTGAACGCTGTCTCAACCAGAAGTCCGAGACTGCCAAGGTATCATAGTCTTGTCTAGGTCTGCTGGCGTGCTGATTGCTGACCACTTTGGCAAATTAGGAAGGGAACGGCTGGAAGTGTTTAATGAATGCCCATGCCCCAAATTCCCCCCCCAAAAAAGAGAGCCAAGTCAGTCCGAAGTAGTCACCTAGTGAACGGGGGTGCACCGGCCGTCTCAGCCAGCCCGAAAAAAGAATGAGAATCGGAGGGTCGGGAACGTTGATAGGCGCTGCGGTTGCTGTGCAGCCAGTAGTCTCGAAAGATGGGCGGCAAGGGAGTCCGGGCAACGACTGGGGCCAAAAACGGGGAGGAGACCACGGGCATACAGCCCCCTTAGAGACGGAGTACTGTGTCTGGACATCCGGAGAAAAATCCCAATAAAAATAACGTCAAGAGGAAAGGGTGAAAAAGGCTGCAAAAGGCTTGCATACCAGCAGCGATCGTACCTGAACTGCACCTCCGCAGTGCAGGGTGAGCATGTGTCGGAGTCTCCACTTTGGCAGGGGAGAATATTGCAGGCCGTCAAAGATGGAAGAGCGATTGTCGCATCATTACGTAGGACGAGGGTTGCCCGACCGGATATAATATGATATAACGGAATGACCTACCGGGATCATATGGAGAATAGCAATTTAGTAGTACTGTACGGAGTTAGTATAGTATGTATCTCTACGGAGTGCTCCGTACAACTAGTAGAGGAACTTGTATAGTCAGGAACCGGCCATCTATCTCCGTAGATGTACAATGATGCGGCGATCGAAGATGGAATACGGGAAAAACGCATCTCATAGTAGGGAAAACTGTGGAGTCCGGACCATCCATTCGGTATCCATCAGTATGGGCTGGTATCAGGTACCAGCCATACCAGCCATACCATACCGACTATACCGTACCCTAATCTGGAGATCCTCCCCACTTGCGTTGCCATTGCAACAGACCCATCCCTTCAGCTTCACGAGTTTCGTTCTTCAAACCCTTCTGTTCCACTTCGTTTTTCTCTTCTTCGTTCCTTTTCTCACGACATTCCGACATTCAACGTCCTTCGACCTTCCTCGCCCGGCCGCCCTCCTCCGACTGTCGACCTTGGACCTTGGATCCTCCGTGGTGAGACTCCTCCGACAAATTGACCTCTCACTGTACCTCCTCCACTCTGCCTGCAGCCCACGAGCTACCGGCCCCTCCCATTGCTGCAACCCGACCTCCGATCACATAATCCCCTCCCCTCCGGTCATGTCGCTGTAAAATCCGACACCCCTGCTCCACGAAAGATTCCACTCACACCGAACGGGGGTTGTGAGGGCACTTTCGAGGCATCGAAGAAATCCTAGGGTATTGGGAACTGGCTGGACAAGGAACTTGGCCTTCTCCGTGAGCTCTTGCACTACCGATCACGGGTCTTGGCGGACGTGGACATACTGGACATACATATCGTGTCGGCTTTGAATTTGCATTTTGCATTGGTGCAATCAGCGTTCTTTTCAAGCATCGTTCGGGATATCACTCTGGTGGACGGAACTGCGTGTGAAGGCTTTGGAATTCGGTCGTTGTCTCAATCTCTTGACTTGACTCAAACGGTTCATCCCCCAACTGTATCACGTCGGAATTACACCTGCCGGTCCGGTTGCCATTCGATATCCCCAGTCTTGCAATCATGGAACACTCGTCTCCCTTGGCTGCGATGCAGCCTCCCTCTATGCTCTTTGGCCATTGCTTCCGTGCAGATGGGCCTACGTCGTATCCGTCTTTGTCTGGGTTTGGGCATAATAGCTTCAACTTCAAAGATCTGTCAATGAAGAAGTCCGGTCCGGATTACTTCAACGTCAAGCCCATTCCCTCACCAACAGCCAGCCTGGCCGCGGATCTGTCTCAGAACTTTCACATTGATCAAAGGTTCGTTGTCAATGCTCGAAGGTTCGAGGGTCATCAACAAAGACGTGGATGAACACGGACCACTACATGCTCATGCTAACCCCAAGTATAGCCCTCAATTGGCGACGCCACGGCGGTCTTTGTTCACCAGCAACATTCTGGGTCAAGCTAATGCTCATGGTATGTTGTCGTGTGAATGATGTCGTTATCGCCCCGACGACCTGAAATACTGATGCTTTTCACTTCAGATGATCTGATGACCACGCCACCGCTTCCCTCATCCCCGGCGATGGACGTTATGGAGATGTCCCCTCTACCCCACAAGCCCGCCTTCGTCGTCACTACTGAGATTGAGGTTCACTCACCCTCTCCCGTCTGTAGTCCAATGGACTCGCCCATCATGTCGGCCGCCCCTAGCCCTCTGCAGGCCTCTCCCATGGAGGCTCTGACTCGGGCACCTTTTGAGTAAGACATCCTTATACTTTCCTCGGCTTCCCTGAAGTATCCACTGCCCGTGTTCACGTTTGCTTATCAATCAATCGCTGTAGACGACGTCGTCCTCACTTCCTACGCCCCAGTTTGGCCAAGAGCAAGGCTCAGTCCTTCCAGCTCGGCATGAATCGCCCCCACAACGAGAGCAAAGCTCCTCCCTTCCGGTTCAGCACCGCTGGAGCCAAGACCTCGCTGAGCACTTCCACCTCCCTGGAGGAGATGTTCGGAGACTCTCCCCCTCAGGAGAGAACCCTCTCTCGTAATAACTCGTCGAGCACTCTGGCTCTGCCGCGTCTGCGGCCACCCTTCCAACACGCTCGTAGCAGCGGCTCGCCCGCACCAAACTCCATTCGCAAGCCCTCCCATCCCTTGATGCGTCCTCGCAAGCAATGCCGACGATCATTGAGTATGTTTGAGCACCCGGCGGATGTGATTGCCGACAAAGAGGCCAAGGTACCCACAAATGCACCCCTCCAGTCCATTAGCGACATGGACAGTCCACCAACCCCACAGCTTCCTCACTTCGTCCCTGAGGATCGGGCGGACAATCTGCCTCGCATCGGCAAGCACACTCTGCTTGAACTTCTTGACGGAAAGTTCAATGACCGCTTCGACAACGTCATGATCGTTGACTGCCGCTTCGAGTACGAGTACGAGGGTGGCCACATCAACGGCGCCCTCAACTACAACGACAAGGAGCGACTTGCGGGTGAACTGTTCGCCTCTCCCAAGGCCCGGACAGCTCTAATCCTGCACTGTGAATATTCCGCGCACCGCGCACCCATTATGGCCAAGTACATTCGCCACCACGACAGAGCTGTGAATATCGACTCCTACCCTAATCTGACGTACCCCGATCTGTACATCCTCGATGGAGGCTACAGTTCCTTCTTCGCAGAGCATCGTGCTCTCTGCTATCCCCAGAACTACGTTGAAATGAACGCCGATGGTCATGAATTTGCCTGCGAGCGCGGGCTCGGCAAGGTTAAGCAGCGTTCCAAGTTGAACCGCGCTCAGACTTTTGCCTTTGGCCAGCACTCCTCCCCCCAGATGGAAGATAGCCCGACTGGTCGGCCCCGTATGGGCGCCGATCGCACCGCCCATCTTCTTGCTTCTCCATTGGGGTCTCCCTTTGCCGAGAGCCCGGTTCCCAACAGGACGCCCGGGCGTCGCATGCTTTCTTATTGATATCTCTTCGCACTTGTGTTTTTTTGCACTGGCGCATGGTGAATTTCTCCATATTTTGTGTCTTGTACTTGAAGCGAGGTGTTTTTCTTGTTGCATTTTCCTTTCTCTCTTCTGGTCGGCCTTGTGGTCCCTTCATACTTTTCCTTACCCTTTCTTCCGGCTTTCAACTCAAAAAAACAGCTTGGTCCTTCGACGGCGCAACGGTGATAAGATTGTTTGCAAAAGCTCGCGAATTCGACTTCCGACCTGCCTTTTTTTCTTGGAAGCCGTGCAGAGCGCGCATTCCTGCCGTCTTCTCTCGATTACCTTTGAACCCTCTTTTCTTGACCACCGACCTGGTATCCTACTGCCGATATCACATCATCCCTTCCTTCCCGGGCTCTCTTTTTTTTCTTCTTCTTTTCCGCCTTCCACCCTCCAGAGCCCGCACGATTCAGCGTTTCCTTATTCCTCTGTCGACGATACCGGACCTTTCGAACCTTTTCATTCTCATTTTCCCCCCTGCATGGTTCGACAATACCTGCATCGCCAACTCTGCCATGAATGTCGCCAACGACTTGGGCATCTGACTCCCCATATCATGACCAATCACTCCTCAGGCAACGAACCTGAGTGATCTTTCCTATGTTCTCGATGACATCTCGATCTGAAATCGACACTGCCCACAAAGACGTCCTGGCTGTCAGCTCAGCCCGCTACTCCGTTCGGTTCTTACTGACCGGGGACGCACTAATTTGCATCTCTGCCGCCAACACATTGGCTTTTCACTTTCTCTTCCCCGCTTAATTCCTTTCACCCTTATTGCCCTTTAATCCGATGTTTCACACCTTCCTGTACAGGTACCTTGCTTTTCATCTCAGGGGAAATGGTTGCGCCCACTCCCCGCTGTACCGAAGTTGCATCTCGATGGACCCCTACTAATGTCTTCATCGCGAGCGCTTCGGCACGGGCATTTTGTGTATTTCTTGCATTCCCCTCCTTCTGCACATTCCGAGCGGGTGATCACCGGGATCCTGACATCTTTCGAGATGCGGGTTTCAAAGTGTGCCGAGGGGGATATTCGGGGATTGCATACATCACAATTGGCTTTGCAGCTTGTACATAAACTGGACTCACTCGCCTGACAGTGAAACAGGACACACTCCATTTTCTGTGTCTCTGGGGGATTTTTAATCGGTGTGGCTGGAAAGCCGTTGAAAGGAGGCTGCAGATACAAAATTCCTTTTTCCCTTTGTGAGCAGAATGAATACCAAAAACATTCTACAATGACCTTGTCCTTGGTATAGATTCAAAGTCCCGCCGATGGTTCCCCACATTAATTAAGGTAGTATGTGGATGTATCCTGTAGTTCCTGCAGCATGGTATATTGCTCTCAACAGCATTGTGATAGTTTCTTCTTTCTCTTGAACTCCCGCTTCTCTACCCAGACATCTCCCGCTCGGTTCTCCGTAAATTTGCGCGATCGGCAAACGGTGGAGCGAAACCCTCCTCGATTAATGAAGATTGGCGGTTTCAGTCTCCCGCGAGAATGTGGAGGTTGTGATAGGCGGAGAAAGGCGGGTTTAAATGGGGTCGCGCTGTCAACCCTTCGCCCTCTCTCCCCCCCCTCTCGGGCCCTCGGTGTTTCAGCATTTGGTTGCTTTCTTTTCTTCCTTCTCTCCCTTCTTTCTCCCTCTCTCTTCTTTCTGGTCTTCACGGTCCGTCAAGAGACTCATAGCAGGGCTATCACTCGTTTTCCGCCCTTGCGAAAAGTAGCTATTTTCGTCTCGAGTCAAACTGGAATTTGACTTTGATCCCAGCCACAGCTCCCTCATTCGGGCTCGCCAGTTCACATTTCTCTGCTGCCTGGTTCGCTCGTTTCAAATTGCCTGCCATTCGGGATTCGTCACCGTGAACCCTGGTCCGTCCAGAAAGTTATCCGTATCCGTTCATTGCTTCTATTTCTGTTGTTTGCCTTTGCTTCGCCGCCATAACCAAGCCCACTCGAACTCTGGATTGCGCCCCGCCTAGAACCCTTCGTCTGTCAGGGTCCAACTTTCATTCTTATCGCATGCGCCTCCCGTCGTCGTGAGTCTTCTTTAAAAGCGGACATTGTCCTACAGACGGTGTTTATCTGGCCCGATTTGCGATCGCGCGCTTGCGAATGTCAGCATACCAAGTCGTGTCTTGCGACTCGAATGTTTCAACGGTTCTATCGCGATAGAACTTCGACTATACCCTCATCATGAGTCCGACGAGTATGGCGACGCTTTGGGCGCGCAGTGTCGCGAGTGATATCGAGTCCGTGCCCTCGACGTTCTCGAGTTGGGACAAGTGTATGTCAAAGGCATACTGCAAGTGAGTCCTGCCTGGAGTGGGATGAGTGCATACTGGAGCTGCGCGCTTAAGTGGAGGCCCCATGCTGATCAATGTCTCACTTTAGATGGCCCGTTATCGTCGGCATCATCATCGGCTCCGTCATCCTCATCGGTATTATAGGATGCATCATCAATTGTCTCTGCTGTGGCTATCAATGCTGTAAATGCTGCTGCGGATGCTGCTGTCCTTCTGGTCGGCGCAGAAATAAGCAACCCAAGCAACCAAAGCACTACGACGAGCCAATCTCTTACAACCAACCACCTCCTCCTCCACAATTCAACCCTCATACCCCATATACACCCTCCCCCGCACCCCCTGTATACCGCGGCGCCATCCAAACGGCAACCTTCGATAACCCCAAATCCCCCGGGGCAAAGGTCGACGAGGATGCTCTCCCGGCTATGCCCACCTGGGCCGGGGCCGTCGATAAGCACGTCGAGGACCCCTCCCACCGCGACGAAGTGGAAATGGAACCTCTGAACCCGCAAGGCCATCCGGATAGGACACAAGGTGCCTCGCCCCTACACGTCGCAACATCCCCCTCGAATTACCCACCAGACCGTACCGGATCCGCGCCCGGATACAGGGGCTTTACACCAACGGATCCCTACGCCCGCCGCTCCCCAGGTCCAGCCGCTGCCCTCGCCGCAGCGCAAGATCCCTACGGCCGCCGTTCGCCAGGCATGGCAACCCCCGCCCGCGCCGCGGACCCCTACGCGCGCCGCTCCCCAGGTCCCCAGGCAATGATGGATCCCTATGGCCGCCGCTCCCCGGGTCCAGCAGCTGCCTACGGCGCTGCGCAAGACCCCTACGCACGCCGTTCCCCGGGCCTTGCATCCCCTGTCAGCGCACCATCCCCTTATGACCAACACAACTACAACCAGCAAGGCTACGACTACCAGCAACAACAAGAGCCGTATGATGAATACCACAACGGTACCGGTGCTGGCGGCTACCACGCCGTGACCTCTCAGTCACCGCTATCATACCAACCACAGACAACAACCTACAATGCCATGCCGGCATCTTACTCGCCCTCCCCCGAGCATGCGCATAACACCCCCGCAGGCTTCCAGCGTCAACCCTCGTTCGGGTCGAGTCAGTACCCGCCAACGTATACCTCACATCCAGCCTCTCCACCACCCCCATTCCAGTCTACCGCGGGGTCGGAGTACGGGGCCCATGAATATGCGGCCGGTGTCGGTCTTGCAGTCGGTGGTGAGCCCGGAAGGGAGAGGCCACCGAGTTTGTTGCAGAGTGGGAGGAGGCCCGCGCCCGGGACGTACAGGGCCGTCTAGATGTGATGAGGGCGATTCATCACTCGGCTTTTGTTTTATCGTAGAAGATCCTTTTTCATGGGGGTTCTACCTTGTTCCTGGTTTTTTGGAACGGGTGTTTCCTTTTTCCTTTGTTTTTTTTTCTTCAATTCCTTTTCGCTGTTTCTTGGCCCGTTGGGTTCATGTGAAAAGACGTCTTTTTGATACCATGATTGTCTTCTGTTTTCTGGTCTGTCGTTATGACCCTTCTTTTCATCTGCCTATCATTGTAGACTCGGGCTTTGCATCGGAGTTACTGATCTTTGGAAATTTTGACTTCTGTCTTTCTTCCTATATTGTGCTGCATGCCTGCGCCAGGCCATGTATATGATTCTCCCTGGGGCTCCGGGGGACCACGGACTGTCTTGGATACTTGGGTATAGGATGAATCTTGTCAAATGAAAATCTTACAAATTTATCAAGTATAGACTTTGCCAAAAACCAAAAAAGCAATTAGGAAGTAAGGGTAGTGTTCGGACATGTACTCATTAACATTGCCTAGATTGGTCTATCGTACATTTTCTGCTCAAGGCAGCGTTCACTCGCGTGCTGGATTTTGCGCAAGAATGATCTGACACCTCGGCCTCTCCTTAGGAAGAAAGGGCCACAGTTGTCATACGGTACTCCTACTACAACGAGAAATCATACGGTTTAAACGCCTCCTTGAATGCGTTGGCATCGGCCTCCTCCTCAGCCTGCGATTGTGTCGCATCTTTCCAGTTCATCCGCTTATCCAATTGCAGCAGCTTCGCCATAACGCGACGGCCAAACTGCAAGTCGAATTTGAAATCCGGGTTCAGCTCTAGCGTTAGGACCTTCTCCGACCCGGGCGATCGAGTCTTGCTCGAATCAGCGTCGGCGTCGGCACCAGCGTCGCCGTTAGACTCCTGTTCGTCTTCGCTGCCTGAGCTCCAGATCGATACGCGGAAGTAATCGCCCCGCTCGCCTGGTGCGTTCCCGCTCTCGGGTTCGCTGTCGGCGGCACCATCGGACTGAGCTATCGCGAGGCCTGAGAAGCGGGGGTATTTAAGGTTTTCGGCTTCTACCTTGAAGGCCAGTTCAACTAGACCTTCTTTGATTAGGTCCATCGGCACGGGGAGGAATTGCCAGTGAGTGTGGATGCCGCCGGCGCGACTGACTTCCCATGTCACGGCGCCGAGTTGTCCGGACGAGCGATCGCTGACCATGTGACGTAGCGCGGTGTTGAAGCGGACCATCTCGATGTATGTGCTTGAGCGAGTAGTCGGGTCCGGAATTGAGCCTAGGGTTGGAGTATGCTCGAATGGGATGATGAGCATGTGACCCGGGAACCCGAGCGATGGCGAAAAGTTGACTGGGGGCAGAGGTCCTTTGGCGGTTGTGAGATAGCTTTGGTCGCCGATGGAGGTGATGAGGTGCGTGGCGATGTTGGGGTTGGATAGACAGAAAAAACATCTATCTGGTCCTGGAGGTGGCTCTCGCTGCTGCCGCTTTCCGCGGTGCTGACTGTAGGAAGAATCGTGGGGGCCGTCGTGCGCGGCAAAGCGATGGAAAGATTCTTTTTGGCTGGGGAGATTCTTGCGCTTGGCTTGAGGTGCTGAGAGGGGGGAGGCGGTTACACCGGCGGGAATGGTGAGAGGGGCCGTGGCGGAGGGGTCTAAGGAGAATGCGTAGAGAGCTTTCTGCTTAGAGTCGAATGAGGCCAGGGAGATGAAGCGAGTAATCAGCTTGGTGTCGGGGCTGTCTTCGGTTGGCATATGGAAGAAAGGCTCTCGCTCGTAGAAGAATGAGTCGGATGCGGAAAAATGATATCGTGGCCTGAGGGTGGCGCACACGTCTGAGATAATTTGGACCTCGGACGAGATCGAGCTATAATCCTCTGGTACGGCAACTTTGGAGCCAAAGCGGACATCCTTGGGCCATTGATTCGTGATTAGAATGTCCGCATTGTGCATGCCGTAGAGGGCGCGAGCGTCAGACTCGCTGTATGTTGTCTGGAATTTGCCACTGGTATTGGTCTCAGGCTTGGATTTAAAAGATCCTGACTGGTCTAGTTGACCTCCAAGGGCGGCAATGCGAATACCCTCAGCCGTCTTGAGGATGCCTCGCTTCCCAAGGAAGTATAGATTAGGACAGACTTCATCATCAGCCTCGATCTTCTCCACAATTCGAGTGGGAAGTGGCCGGCTTCCCACGGTGAAGTAAGTAGTCAGAGGAACATGGATATTTCCTTGTAAAAGCGCGGAGATCTCATTCAGCTCTGCTTCCGTGGAGCAGTCACCAAAGAGGTTGCCGACAATGATTGCAAACGCGAAATTCTGTTTCGCATGTAACTTTGCTAGTTTGGTAAACACTGCCTGTAGCTGGCAATTGGGGCTACCAATGACGATACTATTTTCATGGTCAGATTATTTGCTCAGTTTTTGCGCCGTGGAAGGTCTCACATCTTGGAAGCCATGGTTGGGGGAAAAAAGCCGCGCTCTGGTCTGAGCGCCAGCCTGAAATCAACACAACAGATTTTGCACAAATCTGTGAGCTTTTCTGTGTTAGATCGACCAAAAAAAACTGGCCACCGTCGCGCTGCAGCCGTGGTGAGTGTTGCTAAAAGCAGAAATGATAGTGAAGCTGCAAGGATGCGGCGCTCTTCTGGAAACCGGGAGCTCGGGCCACCCCGTGACCGCACTAGACCATATCAGGCTAGCGCGGTGCTGTGAATATCCCCAGCGGAACAAAGTGGAGCCGGATACCGTTCAACTTTTTTTGTATTCGATGCGGGTTGAGAAAAAGTTCCCTGAGTACCTTTCTCGTCAGCAGCGCTACCTGTCGCATTCTTCAAGATGGTAGCGCAAGGCTCACGGGCCAAGCCCACCAGGCGCTTGAAAGGTGGCACTGAAACTACCAAAACACATCGATTCGAGGGCTTTTCACAGCGCATCGCAAAGCTCAAAATCGATCCGATCCACCGCGTGCGCCGGGCAAGCTTTGGTGAAGATGACGGCGAAACTACCTCTTATTTCCGGTCGGCCCTTGACCACTGGGTTGATATGAACCTTTCGGACAATTTTACACAATTCACTCGCCGTGTCAATGCCCTTTCCGAGAGTCTCGCCCAGATTGTATACCACGAAGAGAAGATTATGGGCTTGCTGGTGGAATTCATTGAGAAACGAGACCAGAATTCCTTGGAGCCGCTGCTGAGCTTGCTTGCACAATTTGCCAGAGATCTAGGAGTTCGTTTTGAGAAGCACTTTGCCACCTCCGTGACTCTGGTCGCATCTGTCGCAGCTACACATCCCGATGTCGAGGTCGTCGAATGGAGCTTCACTTGCCTTGCATGGATCTTCAAGTTCCTGTCTCGTTTGTTGGTACCTGACCTACGCCAACTTCTCAAAATTATGACTCCTTATCTCGGCAAGGAGCGGCAAAAACCCTTCGTTGCTAGGTTCGCCGCCGAATCCATGTCCTTCCTGATCCGCAAAGCCGGCCTTTTCTACTACAAGAACAAGACACCTCTCGAAAACGCTGTCTCCTTCCTTTTCGAAGATATCACACAGACTGCTGAGGATGGGAAGAGTATCGACTCTTACAAGGAGGGCCTGATGGTCATGTTTGCAGATGCTATCAAGGGCGTCAACCACGGTCTTCACTCTAATGGAGTTGACGTGCTTCGCTGTGTCTTGGATCAAGTTCCTTCGACAACAGCAAACAACCGAGTTCCTGCAGAGGTTGCTGGTGGAGTTGTGATCAATCTCATTCACCACACCACTCCGGATACGTTTGGACCTGTCATTGATACCGTTCGGGAGTATATTGATATTCGCTCTAAAGAGGGCCAAAATCCTAACTTCCCTCAATGCTGTCGCCTTATATTCGTTTGTGTGGCAACTCGAAAGGCCTCCAGAATCAGAGATTGGAAGGCGGTCCATCAAACGCTTGTGTCGCTCCTCAAACAGGCGGCGGCAAGCCCCGATGATCACTCGGAAGCAATCCCTCAGCTACTTGGAGCTGTGGCATATGCTCTTCAGCTGTCACCAATGGACGAAATGCTGCCTTTCATGCGCTCCTTCATGGATCTCGTCTCAACCGGACCCCTATCGAAGTATTTCTTGTTCTTCTGTACCACATTTTCGGAGTGGGGTTCTGAGCGGTTTCAAAGTTTGCTGGTACCTTACTTCCAAAAGTTCATCAACTCGTCGTGGAAAGAGCATGAATTCGAAATGTGCCTGGCTCTTCTTAAACTCCACGAGACTGGATGCATCACACCCGAGGTCTCACGGCCAGGTTATGTGTCATGTCCTGACGGTCTAAAGACCCGTATCTACGACTCTCTGGTCTATCCTGCCAAGGATCAGAGCATCTTGAATGCCTTGGTGAAACTACCAAAGGCGATTTCTCTATTTGCAGACCCTACCACCTTGTCGAAAATTGTCAAGAAGTTGCACGAGAACATTCTGTCCGCGATGGAAGATGCCGCCTCCGAGACTGACAGCGAGAAGATTGATGGGTTTACATTCTATCTTGGACAAGGATTCAAGACCTACGTCGAGCTGGCAAAAGAGGCCGGGGAGCTTGACTCGAGTCTCTGGCAGCCAATTCTTGCCGCATCTACCAAGTTCTCCCGCCTGCCCCTCTTCCTGGAAGGCGTTCTTGCTTTCATGTGTGCTGTGCAGAGGCAAGAATCGGAACCTGAAACCGCTTCGGTGGATGAGTTCGCTTCCAATTTGATTCTCAATTTGGCTGGCCCATCTCATCGACTCAGGTTCGTTTCTCTTCAGATCCTGCAGCAACTGATAGTCCAATATGCCAAGGAAGACCACTCGGCAGTCGCGCTCGCCATCGAGGTGGAAGAGAGCCCCTTGACTTTGCAAAGCGCGAGAACAATCCAGATGCATGTCCGTAAACTGGCTCTGCTCTACCCACAAATTGCTTCGCACAAGTGGATGGCCACTTTAATCCCATACTTCTGCTTTGGCCTGTTCTCTAAGAAGCTAGCACCCCTGTGG